AGAGGTCCCAGAAGTCTTGAAATCATACAGCCTACCAAAGGATTATTCCAATAGGAAAGAGATAGTCAGACCTTCCAAAATATATAGCTGAAGTTTACTAAATCATACATTATGCAAACTAAGTCTAAAGAATGTGGTATTCATATATCTCACCTAGAGAGATACATTAATCCAACATTTTATCTTACGAGGGTAATTTGGAAATAAACCTCCATTTGGTTATCAATGACAGACACAGATACAAAACTTTTATTATACACATTAGAAAACTACAGCATTACATTACTTTTCAACATAATCGCCATTCAAACTGATGCACTTGTCATAACGTCTTACAAGGTTTGAAATTCCTTAGTAGTTGTTCGATGCCAAATCTGGGGCTATAGGGGTGGTGATCAAAATATCCCAACAGAACTGCTTCAAAAGTTCTTGGGTGTATCTAGCGCTGTGCCAGCAAGCATTATCATGAACTAACACCACACTGGAAGTGGTGCCTTAGAAAATCTTGCCAAATGTGAAGATGCCAAAGGAGTACTGCTAGTGAAGTTCATGGAGTGTGGTTTGTCCATCAATTCAGAATCTACTGTGAAACATTACAAAAACTCAGGTGAGCCATCCATAACAAGCGTCGGGGCATGATAACTTACAGTGTGGTGTTGGTTCACAATAATGCTCACCCACACACCACTAGATGCACCCAAGAAGTTTTGAAGCAGTTTCATTAGGATGTTTTGATCACACACCCCCCAATAGCCCTGATTTGGCACCAAACAACTACTAATAAGGAATTTCAAACCTTGTAAGATGTTATGACAAGTGCCTCAATTTGAATGGCAATTACGATGAAAAGTAATGTAATGTTGTAGTTTTTTAATGTGTATAATAAAATTTCTGTATCTGCAAGTGTCTGTCATTGGTAACCAAATGGAGGTTTATTTCTGAATTGCCCTCGTATTTTATTATGCAATTTAACAGTTGGACCAAACCTACTATTACGGTTACAATAGCTTACAAAAGGATATCCAAATAGACCAAATTCTAATATTCCTGGTATAGACCACTTAATATCATTCCAAGTTGCAAAATTATCTCCCAGCCAATGTCCTGTGAATTTTCCAGAACCAGAAAATGTTGATCGGGAAAGGAGGAAGCTTCTACTTTCACGGAAAGTAGTCTTGAGTGCTCTGAAAACAACATAAATTTATGGCATTAAGAAATCGGTATATTTTACTGGGATGAAAAATTTGGAGGAAATGAAAGGTAGGTTTCAACATAGCACTTGTACCTACAACATATCCAATAAATCCTTGCAAAATTAACTTATGAATAGACTATTAAAGTCTAAAATATGAGCCAGCCCTTCAGATTACATCTTATAATTTGTGTGTACTAAATAGATGGCTTTTCAATTCATGAGAAGGATTATGTCAATAAGCGTGTTTTGGCCAAATCACAAANTAAATGCTATTTACAAATAATCGCAACACAATTATATCTGAATTAAAAGGAAAAAAATCCTAGTTAGATTGAATCAATGATAAAGAGCAGGGGTGTCAAGCCCGATCGCATTATGGGCCGTATCGTGACATATCGGGATATTTTTTGCCTTTGTGGGGCTGGAGTGGGCATGGCCTGCTTGGGCCACATCCAGCCTGTGGCCCACGTGTTTGACATGCCTGGTATAGAGTCTCCTGTGTGGGAAGACGGTTAGACTAGAAGGCCTCCAAGGTTGCTTTTACCCCCTTTATTATGTATTCTATATCAAATTAGATTTGATTTAATTAATATAGTTATAAATTAGGTCAGCACTTTTTACCTTGCTGTACTGAAGTTATTTGTTTAGATTTTAAAATCCCCAAATAAAATTATTTTTAATTAGAGTTAGGGTGATAACTTGTAAGTCATCTGACAATTTAGCAATTAGTTCATTCTGTTCCTTTAGAAGAATCACTATGTTGTAGCAGACAGTATTTCTTTAACAACAATTGGTAAAGGAATTGTTTCTCAAAATATCTAAGATTCTATCTAAGGACCTTACATATTTATTTAACTACTGTGGGTTATTGATTATACAGATATATGAAAAATGTAGCATGGAAATTAAATAATTTTGATTTCAGTTGAGAACTTACTGGGAGTAAAAGGTGGGTAGTTTAAATTGTTTGCTGCACAACCAGTTTTTGATCCTTTGACAAAATTGGATACTTCATTCATGTCCTATGAGAAAACATACATAGAAATTCATAAATATGTAGTTGTAATCTTCAAGCACATCTTAATACCCATCAGGATCCATGTTCCATTCAACTTTTTTAAAATAATAGCAACATATTTAACTCCTAGCAACATATTTAACTGCCATAATAATTTTGGGCCCTACGGAGGTACCCATGGGTTAATAGGGAAGATATATAACTGAGGGGTTCTTAATGCTATCTGAGCCTGGTTGGTTTTTTTGCAGACTTTTTATTATCCACACTAGGTAATCATCATCAGTGCACTGAGGTTACCTAGTTTGGGCAATGAATGTCTGCAAAATAACAACCAACTCAGAGAACACCAAGGACCTCTCATTTCAACCCTGAACTATAAATATTTTCCTCCAAAAATATAACCCACTTTCTAGTAAATAAATATTTTGTGACTAACAAAGCCCACGGTGGCAACAATTTTCATGAATAGGCAAGTCTACGTTTGAATCTGTAAGCCAGTTACTGAGAATTCTCAGTGCCTGTTTACCAAATTCTGTAGTGTGTAGCAGAACTGAATGGTGTTATGCATCTAGTTTTTCAATTGTTGTTGTCCGTCTCAGCTCTTTAACAAGAGACACAGCCTTCTTCCGTCAAGAGGAGACTTCTATTGCTATGAACAATACGCCACAACAGCAGACCTTGTCTGATTTTATATGGAACCAAAAATCAAATTGTATTAGTGTTTGGGTTGGAAAACCACAAGAAAATTCTAAACCTTCAGGCTAGACTGGGAAGCTGAGATAGCATTCTGGAACAAGGCTATACTGCTATATTGCTACTAGGAAAACAAAATGGATGTTTTCATGTAATCCCTTGGAGCTGAGTTAGACTTAGCAACTAGACTTTAACAGCAATATTTTACTGTTGTTCAGGCTCATGAATGACATACTTTCCTCCACTTCTATTCTTTGCTCAGATATTATAATATCCCAGGGGTTCCAATCTGTTTGAATTTCATCAACAATTGAACATGTCTGAATGTGCTAGGCATGGATAACATGCATTTAAAAATCAAAATATTTTATTCCAATGTTTGTATTCCTAGGGGGAAAATGTATTGTTGCCTATGAAAAGAATAAAAATTTGGAGATGCATATTTTTTGCTTATTGCTAAGTATTTTTTGCTATCAACTATTTGTTTCTTCACTGTGCTAAATAGTACTTACAATCCACAATCCATCGAAATGAATTGTTTTGTGAAAATTGTTGCACTCATACACCCACCACTGAACAGCTTCAGGACTGGAAAAATCAGGGAAGACTGTTGTTCCTGGCCACACCTGCAGGTAAATATATATATATATATATAATTGGTCTACAAAAGGATATAAAAATTTCTTTAAAAATAGTTTTGCAAGATACTAAGCAAAATGAAACAAGTGAAATATCTGAGTGATATTTCAAAATGAAACAAGTGGAATATCTGAGTGATATTTCCACTTGTACTAAATTTGTTATTTATGTGTATGGGAAGACAATAAAACAGAAAAAGGCAATTATATGTTAGATACTGAAATTCGGTTTTTATTAAATTGCTTCTTTTCACGTAACAGTACTACTTCAAGAAGTTGTCGCCTAGACAACTTAGTGGATATCATAAATGTCATAATGTTTTGCTATGTTTTTTATATACAGTATATATAACATACTGCAAAATTCTGACCCAGTTATTTTCTGTTAGGAACACCCACAAAACACTGACACCCAGATATGTCTCCAAAATAGGATATATCTTGTGCATGCATAGATATATATATGCATATATATTCTGCCTTTGGCAGAACCGGCAGCTAATTTTTTGTTGCCCAGGCCCAGAATGGACTTCCAGAAGCGGCATCCACACAGAGAACCAGTTGTTCACATATTTGAATCCCACCACTACATATATGTATAGATATACATACACATATGCATATGCACACATTTGTGTATGTGTACATATATACATTTGTATGTATGTAGAGACGGGCAGGGGGAAGTGAGAGAGACCTAGAAGTCATGGGCTATAAGGAAATGTAAATCAGTTTTAGTTCTTAGCAAATGGCTATCATCAAAGAAATCAACTTTTTTAAATCTCATCCTCCAGGATGTGTAGGTAAATAGGTAGGTAGGTAGCAAATTCTGCTTGCATTAATTTGTATTTTTCATCCTTTTCTGAAGACAATGTTCAAAATATCAAAGTTATAATCTAGTTAATATTTTCAGTATAATTTAAAGAAAGAAATGCACTGAGGGAGAGAAGAAATTTGAATCTGTTACCATCAAATGCAATATAACATTGATATACTAATTTAATATGGCCTGCAGCCATTCCTCATAACTTATTGAGCATGAATAGAATGAATAGAATGTTTATACCTTCATAATAATAGATATGAATATTACATAAGAAGTTACTAATAATGTAATAACATAACTTGCAGGTTACTAAACAGAGCAGTAAGATTCATAATAAGCTCTATTCAATCAAAATAGAGTTGGAAGGGACCTTGGTGGTCTTCTAGTCCAACCTCCTGTTCAAGCAGGAGACCCTATACCATTTCAAACAAATGGCTGTCCTGTCTTTTCTTAAAAATCTCCAGTGATGAAGCACCTACAACTTCTGAAGGCAAGCTGTTCCACTGGTTAATTGTTCTCACTGTTAAGAAGTTTCATCTTAATTCCAGGTTGCTTCTCTCTTTGATTAGTTTCCATCCATTGTTTCTTGTCTGGTGCTTGGAAAATAAATTGACCCCCTCTTCTTTGTGGCAGCTTCTCAAATACTGGAATACTGCTATCATGTAATCCCTAATCCTTCTTTTCTCTAGAGTGGCCATACCCAATTCCTGCAACCGTTCTTCATATGTTTTTGTGTCCAGGCCCTTAGTCATCTTAGTTGCTCTTCTTTGCACTTTTTCCAAAGTCTCAACATCTTTTTTGTAATGTGATGACCAAAATTGGTGTGGTCCTACTTAGGATTTATAAAGCAGTACTAATACTCCACATGATTTTGATTCTATACCTCTGTTTATACAACCAAGGAGTGTATTATCTTTTTTAGATGCTGCCGCACACTGTTGACTCATATTTAAGTGATCTGGAGTCCACTAGGACTCCAAGGTGCCTCTCACAGTTATTGCTTTTAGCAGGTTTCACTTAATTTATAGTTGTACCTTTGATTTTTCCTGCTTAGGTGTAAAACCTTTCTTTTCTCCACATTAAATTTCATGGGTAGGGCCCATTGTTCAACAATGGGTAGGGCCCATTGTTCAACAATGGGTAGGGCCCATTGTTCAACAATGGGTTGAACAATGGGTAGGGCCCATTGTTCAAGTCTGTCAATATTTTTGGGGATTCTGGGATGCTAGCTATTCCTGCCAGCTTAGTGTCATCTGCAAATTACCCTTCAATTCCCTCACCTTGAAGTTACCCTTCAATTCCCTCATCTAAGTCATTTATGAAGATATTGAAGAGTACTGGGTTTAAGATGGAAGCTTGTAGTACCCCACTGCTTACTTCTCTCTATGTAGATGCAGAACCATTAAGGACAACTAGTTGAGTATGGTTTGTCAGTCAGTTATAAAACCATCTGATGGTGATGCTGTCTATCCCACATTTTTCTAGTTTACCAAGAAGTAGGTTGTGGTTTACTTTGTGAAACACCTTGCTGCAGTATAGGTATACTATGTCCAAAACATTTTGTTGGTCTACTAATTTAGTCACTTTGTCAAAGAATGAAATAAGATTGGTTTGCCATGATTGTTTTTAACAAACTCGTGTTGGCTATTAGTTATAACTTTATTTGTTTCTAGATTTTTACAGATATGTTTTTTATTATTTTTTTCAGTATCTTCCCAGGTATTGATGTTAGCCTGATAGGCCTGTAGTTTCCTGGGTCTGTGGTTTTTGTTTGTTTGTTTGTTTTTGGGAAGATAGGAATCACATCAGCTCTTTTCCAATATTCTGGTAGTTCCTGGTGCTCCATGATTTTTGAAAGATATGGTACAATGGTTCTGAGATAACATCTGCCAGCTCTTTCAAAACTCTGGGATATAATCCATCAGGTCCCGGTGATTTATATTCATCAAAATCAGATAGGTGCTCTCTTACCATTTTCTTAGCTTTAAAAATATTTTATTTTTGGGAATATATCTGAGAAAATAAGTATTGGCAACAGTGTGATTTATTTTTAGTTTGATGATTGTGCCAATATTTACTTTCCAGAATTAGATAAAGAAATGTAAATTGCTTTGACAGAAATTATAAGTTCACTATAGGATCACAACAATCAACATGGATGACATTTATCAAAGAGTTACGTCTTTGTCTTTGAAGGTCCTCATGCCAAAGAGAAAAAATACAGTGGGTTTCTTCAGAGTACTGAATAAATAATATATATGGAGTACAGAAAAGATCCCAGTTTTGCAGATGATTCCAGAAACTATTAGTACAATATTCTCCTCCTTTCTCTTTCCTCAGTTTAGACACTTATTTGCTATACTGTACATTTATGTTTTCTTTCTTACCTTCTGGGAGGACACTTCATGGTATTGGAAGCAGAACATACAGATTCAGTCAGAGTTATGTTCCATACAGTATTGACCTTGTGAACTCTAAAGCTTTCTCCTTCCATTATGTATTCAAGATGGACAGTGATTAATATTTATATGTTACTTATATGTAAGGGCAGTGCCGGAACTCACACACGTCATACAACCCGCCTTGCCTACCCTACAAGGTTCCATCCAAAAAAGGTGCCGGAACTCTGCTCTGGGCGTTCTATGAGAAAAAAAGCCCTGTGTAAGGGTATATACATATGTTGTATATAGTATGTTTAAATGTGTGTTGTGTATGTGTACATTTTGAGGGCAAACAACTAAATTTCATTTTTAATGTGTGTCATTGTGCTCACAGTAAAAAATGACAATAAAAGTTATCTGTCTATCTGTCTGTCTGTCTCTCTCTCTATCTAATGCTCCGGTGGTCCACAACTTATTTCTAAAACCAGCAACTTACTTCCCCAATAAGAGGGCTTATTCCATCTGATTCATTTATCCACACTTTCATCCGTTCTCCCCTTACATAGGCTTCGTAAGGGGTATTGTTCATGAGATTATTGACAGAGATGGCAGGATCCTTTAAGAAAAGAAATTAAAAATGTTAAACTTTCTAAACCTTTGCACAATTATGTAATTGCTTGTACTCCTGCAGAGGATAGCAGGGGTGCTTTGCTATGCAACAAAGCAGAACAAAGTTGACAAACTCTACTCCTCAGTGATGTCACCCCACCTCCTTTACATGTCCTCATCACTGTAGGACAGGACTTGTAAACTGACATCATTGAACATGCTCTGATCCTGTAAAAGACATCTTGTATCTTGCTTGCGGCCTTGCTTTCTGCCACTAAATTGCCAGGTACCATTGGAGAGCAGCTGCTAAGGCACAATTAATATTCTGTTTATTTTTGCTATCTGTTGGATGTTTTTTTTTTAAAAAAAATCTGGAAATGGAATTACGATACCATTGACTATTGGTTACAGTACAGTACAGAAAGAGTGGGCAACCTTTCAGTATATTTAATAGTATGGGAAAGTCAAGGACCATCATTAAGGATGAAGATGTAAAACAGTTGAGGCCATGTTGGCAAAGAATTGTTCATTTTTAACTTTTTAAAATTATTGTAATACTTCCATCACACATTTCTTGTGCTCTTTGTTTTAAAATTCATCTATGATCCATTGATCAACAAAAACATACAAGTCAAGGAAGGTTTATAGGAAGTTGCAGGGACTAGATAAATAATTAGTAGACTCTTCTGTTCCTGAATAAAATAATACTGTTTCATCAGATTTTCATTACTTTTAGTGAAACAGTTGAGATGAAGAGAAATCTTAGTACAAATAAAGAAGAAAAATCGGGAAGTTTAGAAGTAATACTAGCAAAAACTTAAAGTTTCAGGAAAGAGAGGAAATTGTAATGATGTGGATAGACAAGACATTTGGCATTATAACATAATATATATATATGAGCCGTAACATAATATATATGAGACATGGTGACGCAGTGATTAGAATGTCATAATTCAGCTCACTGTCAGGAGTTCGATCCCTGACTGGCTTAAGGTTGACCCAGCCTTCCATCCTTCTGAGGTCAGTAAAATGAAGGCCCAGATTGTTGGGGACAGTATGCTGACTCTGTAAACCACTTAGAGAGGACTGTAAAGCACTGTGAAGTGGTATATAACTCTAACTGCTATTGCTATATGCAAACAATTGCTGATAAACTGTTTCAATAATTGCTTCACTGTTTAAATTAATCAGAATTACCAGTATGAGGACATATTTCTGTCCATGGTCATGAAGGTCTTGGACAAATTCAGGGAGGCCTGCAAAGTTTATCTTATCATAAGTGAAATCTTTCTTATCTTCCATGTAGTCAATATCAGTATATTGAACATCCTGGAAAGAAAAATGCAGCCATTGGAAATGTTGAATTTTTATACTATTTCAACCCAGGCAGAATTGTGAGGAATCATCATTATCACCAACACCAAGATCATCATAGTCTATATGAAGAATACTAAGAAAAGCTTAAAGGAAAGAGAATTGGTGCTGATGAGTTTTTTAAATCAAGATGAAATAATTGGAAACATTAATTCTATATCATATCTAAGTCTCCATTGGACAATCCTACTCTGACGGAGCATAAAAGGTTCATTTGGTTTCTTGCATTCTGTTAACAATGTTATATTCAGAAAACTATATTTTCTTTGAATCTGCAACTCTGGCTCATTATAAAAGGCAATATACCCCCCATACCAAATTTTCATTACCATAATAACTTGCTATATAGCCACCCTATTTTTTTCTTTAATGTATATAAAAAGTAAAATAGATTGATTTATCCTTTAATATTGCAAAAGAAATTGGTTTCTCTCAACATATCCTTTTAATGGTAGAAAGAAAATGCATATGTTGTTATCTGATGAAGCTGATGTTTTGGCTAAAGGAACTGTTCCTTGCATTAGCTAAGTTAAATATTCACAGGTGTGACAAAATTCAGCATCTGTTCTCATTTTAATTCTTCAGCCTCCAGGGAGACTTAACTAGATTTCCAGCAAGTATAAATTCTTGTAAAATGACATTCCTGATTTTATTCTCTCTATATTGCCTAAACATTAACAATTTCATTGAAACCCTATCTAACTTTGATCCTTTACTAAACCACCAGGCTTCTAGAAGATATTCAAAGACATATTTCATTTATTTTGATTGAATCTAGATTCAGAATGACTGATGTGGGGGAAAAACACTGTAATTTCTTTAGCCAGTGTGCCCAAAGGTGCTTTTTCATGAAGCAACTGGACTTTCTTGCTTTTTTTTAAAGACATCTCACTTCTCATCCAAGAAGCTTCTTCAACTCTGACTGGATGGTGGAGAATGGAAGGATTTATACTCCTTGCAGACAGCTGGTTATTTGCATTCTTTTAGAGCAGGGGTCTTCAAACCTGGCCCTTTTATGATTTGTGGACTTCAACTCCCAGAATTCTTCAGCCAGGCACGCTGGCTGAGGAATTCTGGGAGTTGAAGTCCACAAGTCATAAAAGGGCCAAGTTTGAAGACCCGTGTTTTAGAAACTCATTGAGGCAACCTGGAGGCTTATCTGTGTCATCAGGGTCACCTGAGTAGTGCAAATGGGTGTGGAGCCTTCTTGGAACTGCTGAAAGGATTGTCTTGTAGAATGGAGATAGATGATGCCATATCCCTCCCTCCCTGTTGAGAGAAGCTGTTCAATTTTGACATAGATGGCCTCTGACCCCTCTTTCAAACCAACGGTCCTCTCTGTCCAAAATGTGGACTTTGCTGTCTTTAAAAGAGTGACCTTGGTCTTTTAAATGCAGATGGACTGCTGAATCTTGTCCTGATGGGTTTGTTCTCCTATGTTGTGCATGCATTTATGAAATGATTGCCTTGTTTCCCCAATGTACAGATCTGCATATGCCTCACTGCATTGTACTGCATATACCACCATGCTCAGTTTGTGTCTGGGTGTTTTATCCTTCCACTTAGTGTATTTGTGTGTTTGAAGTGTGCACGTATGTTGTGTTGGCTGAAGATCCTCCTGAGCTTTTCTGATATTCTGCAAATATGGAATGACAATGTTGCTTCATTTATTGTTTTCTTCTTTGTCTGTGATGAAGGATCTCCTTCTTGGTCTTTTTTCGTCATTTGCATTCTTTTAGAGAGTCATTGAGGCCACCTATCATTGAGGACACAGATAAATCTCCAGATGGTATCAACAACTCTCTAAAAGAATGTAAATGACCAGCTGTCTGCAAGGAGTATAAATACTTTTATTCTCCACCATCCAGTCAGAGCTGAAGAAGCTTCTTGTATGAGAAGCAAAATGTCTTCAAAGAAAAAACAAGAAAGTCTAGTTGCCTCATGAAAAAACATCTTTGGTATAACTATGACCTGGATGACTAAGAATCTACATAGACACTTAGCCAGTGTGAATTCCCCAGTTATATAAAGAGTAGGCAATCTACTACCAAAATTATATGTGGTCCCAATGTCTTTTCTAGTAAACAACATAACCCATTTTAAAGGACAAAGAAAACATTTCCCACTGTGTTAAAATAGGAAGTACATAAAGATTGTACTATCCTAAAATATCCTAAATGTAGGAGATAACCAGGCTAAGGGATCAAAAGCTTATCAGTCTTGAGTCCATTCATGCCCAGAAGAGATCTTTGTGCAATTCATCTTGAATTCCATTGACTCTTATCTACCACTAATTTGCTTTGAATATTAGTATTTCAGATTCTTGTAGAGTGCTTTAGCATGCAATATACCTACGGTATATCAACTGCCTGAAATCCTGATTTCCTGCACTTGACACTAAAAAATATTAAAATCAAATACAAAATATCTTTTAAAAGTCCTAAAATAGATTTGCATTTTAGTTATTTTTTTAAAAAAAATCCAGCTAGCCCAAACCAGGAAATAAAGAGTATTAAATCCTAACCCCGTCCACTTTGTAAATCAACCCATTCATTGTGACCTCCTATTTTCTACCAAAAAAAACAAAACAAAGTGAAGTGTATCCTATTCATTCCTGGATTGCAACCTCCCTTCCTTACTTGGTCTTTGTACTGGCTCGTCTTCCCAAAGCATGATGTTGTCATTGAATAATGACAAAATTAAAACAATGACATTAAAACTTCCCACATAATTCATGGTTTCTTTTTCTATCAGAGTAACAAATAAAAGACTATCAGTGGATTATGCGTATTGTAACAAATTGAGATCTCATAATAAAAATAGCAAAAGTCCTAGACATATGTAAGAATGAGACCTTAATTTGGTTAAAACTGAATTTATTAAATGAGCATGGATTTGCTTACTGTGCTCATGCTTCAAGGGAAACTAGCCATCAAATTCTACCTTCAACATTATGAATCCTTCAAGAATTGTATCTTTCTACTAAACACAGTAGCACAGTGAAATGGTATTTGAGTCTTCAAAATAACTGATTTTCCTTTCTACTCAATAATGTACTGATTTATTAATTAAACATATGTATAAAGCCACCCAATTCTCACACAGTGACTGTATTCCTTCTCCACGCATACATTTTTACTTACATAAGGTATTCCAGCTGCACGATTTCTTTCCACTACAACTTTCACATCATTTAGATCAGTGTAATTCCATCGACAGATATGGAAACCGAGATTCCAATAGGAAGGCATCCATGGAAGCCCTATTAACTTTAGAATTAAAATACAAAAGATGCCATGAGAATGCAGAAGAAATTTAGATTCTGGTTTTACTGTATTTCCATTGCCTGAACCTAGAAATACATGAATCAGTATCAATGCTTGGTAGTACTTTGGAGTTGCATGAAATTGAACAGCAGCAGCAAAAATAGCAACAGAAATCTTCCTCCAGATAATTCAAAACTACTAATTAAGGATTTTGATGAACTGTTAAGAGAGGATGGAATATTTGGAAGAGAGTTACATATTTATGACATGTAGGATTTGAAGGCCAAAATTAGTTTTATTTAATCCTGAGAGATATTCATAGGGCAGGGACAACGGGGCGGGGGGAGCTTTGTCATTTCTGCTTGTGTATCTGGTATATCTTTCCTAAAATAATGTCTATGAATATTTTCTGTTGTTAGTTCAATAAAAGATAACTATTACATGCTCTGCAAAGTCCTTTAAACTTAACTGGATTGTTATGATTAAATTCCAGGCTGTTATGGTTATATCTACAATGAGTACATCAAATCATCCAATACTAGTGTCAAGGTTCTGACTAATGAAACACTTCAAGGAAATTCCAGGCATATTTATTTTGAAAAAGTCTTTAATCATGGACACATTGTTGGCACATATTGAATGGATGCCAAGATCTGAAGTCTCCACCCCAGAGCAGTTATTTTTGCTAGCATTTTCCCTCCCTCTTTTGCTGTCATGAGTCACGTTCTTCAACCAGCCTGGGGGGGCAAAGGTTCACTTCCTTCTGAAGCCTGCACAAATTGCTCTCTCTCTACATTCTTTCTCCCCCCTCCCATTCTCATCTGAGTTAACTCTAAAAGTACCAGACAGTTCTGCATATTTTGACAAAGCAAGAATATTCAATATCAGCAGCATTGACAACTAGTCCTAACAGCTAACTATCGTACTGTTACTAACTTTGATTCTAGGTTTAGTTGAAGTGATTTGGACATTATGACTGTAAACAAGGATATTTTATAAATCCTTTAATATAAACTGATCTGACAATTTCACTCTTCTTCTGGAATTTGTCTCTTACTACTAGATAGAAACAGAGCAGAAAGAACTATACAGATGGTATTTTCACTTAACAGCGTTCCCTTCTAAAATAGCTTCTCAAGAAAAGCAGATCTACTCTTACAATGATGAACAACATATAGAATTTTATTTCAGCAGGACTTTGGCTTGTTTAAAGGTTGTGCTTAAGAAAAAAAACCTATTTTGATGTAAATTCTTTTGAATATTTACCATACAAGTGGTAGGCTATAGATTAATTGTTATACAGGTAGTCCTTGACTTACAACCATTTATTTAGTGATGTTCAAAGTTACAGTGGCATAGAAAAAAGTGATTTATGATTGTTCACCATTAACACCCCTGGTGACATGATCAGTTGTTTGGCAACTGGCATTTATTTATGATGGTTGCAGTGACCCAGGATCATGGGATCACCCCTTGTGACCTTCTGACAAGCAAAGTCAATGGAAAAAACAGATTTACATAAGAACCGTAACAGTTGCAGTGATTCACTTAATCACTGCAAGAAAGCTTGTAAAATGAGACAAAATTTAATTAACAACTATCTTGCTTAGCAATGGAAATTTGGGGCTCAGTTGTGGTCATAAGTCAAGGAGTGCCTATATAGCAAAGGGAGGTATAGATCATCTTAATTTAATAGAGTGCTATATAACATATTATTTACTGTATCTTCTGTCCACCTTTTCAAGTTCAAGAGAAGACCTGACGATATTTAATATACACAGAATAAAATGATTTGCAAAATCATTTTGGCAAGAAATAATAGGTGCAATAAATAATATTGCCTTAGCTTGCCCAAGGATCTGCTGATACAGTTTTACAGAAGAATTATTGAGTCTGTCATTTGTAGCTCAATATCTGTCTGGTTTGGCACAGCAACCAAACAGGACAGATACAGACTTCAACAGAAAGTTAGGACTGCAGAAAAAACAATCACAATCAGCCTGCCTTCCATTGAGGATCTATGTACTTGCAAGAACCAGAAAGAGGGATGAGAAAATATCTACATACCTCTCACATCCTGGACATAATCTATTTCAACTTCTCCCCTAAGGACGCTGCTATAGAGCATTGCATACCAAAACAACCAGACATGCTATCACTCTGCTGAACACTTAATTCCCACAACTCTGTCTCATTTTTCAACTTCTCTTCTTTCCTACTATCTTCTCCTGTTTGATTCTTGTGATTTATCAATTGTTGTTTGTAACTTATGATAAAATACTGTAATTGTGATTTATGACCTATGACCTTCTTGTTTACATGTACAGATGAACCAGATATGCACCATGGATAAATTCTTTGTGTGTCTGATCACATTTGGCCAATAAAGAATTCTATTATATTCTATTCTATTCTGTTCTGTTCTGTTCTGTTCTGTTTTGTGCTGTGCTGTGCTGTGCTGTCCTGTGCTGTCCTGTCCTGTCCTGTCCTGTCCTACCCTATTCTCTAAGATCCATGATACATTTTGCTACTGAAAGTTGCAAAAGTAGTAGCAGTTTACCATTAATAATAGTCTTATACAAGTCTGTTAAAATAATGAGATGACAGATCATCAAGGACCAAGTAGAAACATTATAGAAAAACATACCAATAGATATTCTTGGACTACTTGCTCTGGAGTATTTCCTAAGAAGACGTAGAAATCTAAAAGTCCACCAATTGTCCTGTATGTTACAGCAGGAGCAGGTTGAAGAGCAAAATCTGTCAGGAGAAATTCTTAAAATTAACTGAGACTTAAATACAAGAATATTGTCTTTATTTTTACTCCTAAATTATTGTGGAAATTTAATATATGAATGAATAGGAATCTTCCCAGGATTAGCATGTGCCTTTCAAAGTTTTTGCATGTTTCAGTTTTCCATTGGAATTCTCAGTTGTAAGAAGAATCCCAATACACTTCTAATGGTCTAACAAATTTTGCACTAAGCCAAGATTTCTAGATCTCTTGAAGATAGTATAAATCTACAGATGTTAATATCTTGCTTGTAAAAACTATATTAAAAACTGAAAAGTTTTGCTAGAGTTGTCCATGTAGATGATGACATCTTATAAATGTTATTACTCTCCTGTGGATTTTGAAATTTTTCATATAGATCTTTAGCTTGCTTTCTTTTAGTTGGAAAATAGTGATTCTTGTCAAACCTGTTGCCAGGTTAGCTAACCCTCCTACTACATTTTTCTTATCTTCCTCTAAATTTTTAACTGTCTTAAAATAATCAGATAGGATTTTCCCTTCTTCTGTAGCAACTTCTAGTCTGACTGCAGGCCTGAATCCTCAATATAATAATTGCATACATTACACTTCCATTATGCAACATAATGCTAATTGAAATATTGATCCTGATAATAGTTGTTTTAATATAGAGAATGACATTGCAATAAATGAGCTGAGATTTTGATAAGAATTATTTGAGTTACTAGGAACAGTTATCCATTATAGCTATATTTATCCTCAATAGAGTTTTATAATTTATACCTAGCATATGAAAGTTCAGCTTCTTCACAAATAAGTATGGATTTACATTTCTCACTCCAAGAAGTTTTTTCTCGCCTAATAGGCCAAAGCATGAAACCACACTGATCTTGGCTAATCAACTATTATTTATATTTATTTATTTAAATCTATTATACCATTCCAGTTGATTTTGAGTGGCTATAATAATCATTGTTCTATAATCTCTGAAACCTATTAAACAGCAGTCCAAAACTATTCTTAATTGCTCCTTGAGAATCTCATAAAGATTGAATGTTTAGGGAGATTGAGTGATTTAAAGATGGAAACTACTGTATGTTGAGGATTCCAATTTAACCATATAGACATAGGTCAATTAACTTTTAACGTCTATAAAAATTACTTTAGAGAACATTATTTAACTGTAAAACTTCACTGAAAACACTTTTCAGTAGAGCTGCATAGAAACTCATCTGGAAGAAAAACAACATAGAAACAATATGGAATTCCTCATAAAGGAATTCCTCATATGGAATTCCTCATAAAGGAAAAGCAGTAATCTTATATTTGCTAACCTACCATGACATTGCCTCACCAAGATTCAGGATTTAATTTTGAATAGATAGGATCACACTGTTACACAATTAGATTCTCACTATTGTTAGTTAGAACAATGTAATTGGAATACAACTTTCTCAGAATAAATGTATTGGATGAAAAATGTATAGTATAAGACATACCTGCTGATTACCTCTTGTGCATTTATCATATAAATACATGTGTAGAAAATTGTTTAAAGAAAGCCATATGATTTTTATCAAAATCATAAATCATTTCCTTACCCATGGCATTACTGTTCATAAGGAATACTCCAAATGAATGTCCACTCTTATCTTCCAGACATAAGAAGAAAGTCTGAGCACCATACAGGTTGCTCATATCCTTTGAAGGAAATAACAACAATATATGAATACTGAAGTCCTAAGTGTTGAAATGACCTTTAATTTGAGTGAAGAACCACACAGCATATGTCCTTGAATTTAGACCACAGATAATGACATTCAGTGTTTTCAAGTATGTATTGTTAATCTGCTTCTTGCACTACTGTCTAAAATCAGTGGATCTACTGGTTCTATAACAATATAATTTATGCAGGCACTTGACATAAGACTGTCTCTAAAGATAGATAGATAGATAGATAGATATATGGGTGTATGTTTCTGTATTATTTTTACTTATTCTGGGAGAGGGGGAGGTGTTATTTGATTTAATGTGCTACAAGCGCTATTGGGAAAACTCTTTTTGAAGACCAGATTGCAAAGTAAGAAAGTAAAAGACAATTAAAATACACAATATTTGTCTTTATCCAAATTTGAAAAAATCTTGTACAGAACCTAGAACTATATCCTTATAATTCCTCTTCCTCCTCCTCCTCCTCCTCCTCCTCCTCCTCCTCCTCCTCCTCCTCCTCCTCCCTCTCCTCCATCATTGAAAGTTACAATGCCACTGAAAAAATACAACCATTTTTTTACACTGTTGCAGCATCTCCATAGTCATGTGAACAAAATTGGACATTTGACAACTGATGTGTATTTATAACAATTGCTGTGTCCCAGGTCACCTTTTGTGACCTTCTGACAAGCAAAATCAATGGGAAAGACAGATTCACTTAACAATCATGTTACTAACATAACAACTGCACTTATCAACTATGGCAAGAAAAGTCATGAAAGGGGGCAAAATTCACAATTATCTTGCTTAGCAAAAGAAATGTTGGGCTCAATTGTGGTCATAATTTGAGGATCACCTGTATTTCTAGCAAGTGAGCTGTGCTTTCTTCCTTTGTGGTTCTCCTTTATGCCTTGCCTGAATTTTAAATATCATGTAATGCTGTCCTATCATGTTATACATAGCAATGTCAGAATCACACTTCTTGTGAAAAATGGAATTACAATTCAAAAATATGTATTATCATTTCATTGATACAGAATCTATTGCATTTTCATTTATTTTAATGCTTTAGAGTCCAACACCAAAGATGCAGAATCAGAAGAAGATACTTACCCCATTAGGAAAAGCATCCCGGGTAAAGATAGGCCATGTTTTCCAGTTAAAATCATGCCGATATTGTCTATGCACATGTTCTCCTACGCCATAAACATTCCAGCTAGGCACTCTAATGGAAAGCTGCAAGAACTGGTCCGCATATATGAGAGGTCCTATACTGGTGTTGAAGCTGTTTGAATTATCAAAGATATTATGCTTTTCATAAACTGGACTTTTTTAATTTAAAAAATGCATTCAATTCACACTGTATTCATACTAAGCATTCCTTGTGAAGAAAAAAAAAGGCTAAGGAAAAGACCAGCATTTGTCTATAGTGACATATAAGCTCAAAATTGGGTCACCAGAAAGAGCTATAGTCACCAAGACAGGACACTACAGGACACCGGAAACATTTGGAAGAATAGATAATAGGCCTTTATTCCTTAACAGGCATTGCTCACTTTCTTGACTGCTGCTGATGTATTGTTTTAATTATCCCATTTCAATATTGTGATAAGGACATTACATAAATAAATGATGGCAGTCAAACTTCCCAGAAGGATGGTTATTTCTGATTCTTGCCTAAGTTGTGTAGCAACAATGAATACTGAATGCACTTACATTTCATGTTGAACAACAGAGCTACAGATAACAAAATCTGGTATAAAAAGTGCAAAAACATTTTCTGATTTAGAGTCTTTTCTTAGGACCCTGTTGAACATGCAGGCATCTTATGGTCTATGAGATGTTTTCTATTACAGATGTGTGCAGTTCAAATAACTGCATTTACTGCGTTGTTTTTTTTTTTAAAGTGTTTGAAAATTAATTGTCAACATATTAGCAACAGTTCTCAAAGTGTAGTCTGGGTACCTCTGAGAGCTCCTGAGACCCTTTCAGAGAGTCTGTAAAGATAAAAATAATCCCTCAATATAAATTTATAATACAGTAAATATTGACAGATGTAGCCCACATAAACCAAAGCTGTTTGAGATTCTCAATCATTTTTAAGAACGTAAAAGGAGCCTGAGATTTGAGAATTGCTATATAATTAATCTTAGGGTGGGGAAGTGGTTGAACAATTATGAACTGTGGATTTCCTATAAAAAAAACCCCCAGAAATATAACTTACAGGACTTTATTATTGCTATTCCTGATCACACTGATTCCAAAAGGATTTTCTGTGACTTCTACTCGATACATTAAATTGGTTGCTTTAGATCCCTGAAAAGGTTGAATGTTTTCATGTGGGACTTCATATCTATCTTTGTTGGCAGGATCTGTAATCTGTTAAAACCATAAAGTTTAAAATAAAATAAATGTTGACATAGTGAATGCACAACTTTCCCTCATCTTAAAGATTCTTAACTGGTGAAACCTGGGTCAGATTTAATAAATGCAATTATATTAGTCTTGTAATAAAAAAATAAGGATCCAACATCAAACCCCAACCCACTTATATTTTTGGTCCAAATACACTATTGTAACCAATCAAATAAAATATGATTTGTGTAACACCATAAAGAGGACTTGTAACACCACCCCTTTAAGCTTTGGGTTCTGATATCAAAAGTTGTGTTTCAATGTATTTGTGCTCTGATCTCTACAGTCTCTTGTACTGTAAAAGATGGTATTTGTTAGAGAAATTTCCAGTTGCAGATTTCTAGACTGACTAAGCATTCTCTGTTCCAAAAAATCAAAACCATCTTTTTAGTTGTTTCATTATCCTGTTATCAGAAATTCAAAGCAATGACTTTCAATAACCTTTAAAGTATGTTAAAAACAGTTTTCAGAATTGCGGACCATGTTTGAAATATTTCATTTTCTATGTACCAAATCCTACACTGAGCCCCAATGGTGCAGGGGTTAGAATGCAGTATTGCAGGCAAACTATGCCCACAGACAGGAGTTCGATCCTGACAGAGGTCAAGGTTGACTCAGCCTTTCATCCTTCCAAGGTTGGTAAAATGAGGACCCAGATTGTTTAGGGAAAAATGTTGACATTATAAACCGCCCAGAGATGCTATAAAGCACTATGGGGCGTTATATAAGTCTAAGTGCTATTGCTATTGCTATTGCTACATCATCACAGGCATTCAATTCAAAAGTTTATAAAGGCTTCATACCTGCTTTTTACTAATAGAATTAAATCTGGCAAACCAGACAGATGGGTTTCTCAGTGAATATCTGAAATGTCCTGAAAAATTTCATACTGGCTATGAACTAACATGAGAATGATGAACTTAAGGCAGTTTTTCCTGGAATATATTTTCGTAGAAAGTACCTTTCAATATATATTTTAAGTAGCTTGTTCCTAAATAAATATGAAATAGGACATTGTATGCTTATACTAATTTGCCTTAAGATGCAGAACATTTTACTTTAAGATGATAAATCTTAAGATTGGTTTTGTTTTAAATACAATATTCTATAATTGGACAACACACCCTTTCAAATGAATATTTTATTTTTATCTTTGAAGATACAGAATAGATCTGAGCTGCAAAATTCCAGATGTTTACCATATGCTAGCAAAGATTTAGTGCTTTCTATATCTCTTTGCTGTTATCTAATAGACAGCTGGAGTTTTACAATCCAGATCTAGAATATCTAGAAAAAAATGATGACATTGTACAGACTGATACAGTGATATTTAGCCCAATGATACATTATGGCATCAGCTTGTCATTCATTCATCTCTTCATTCCCTATTAGGGAGTCCTAATAGGTTTAGTTGCTACCCACTCACATTCCATGATTTTCTGGTTGAACATATTTCATTTAAAAAAAAACATCCTAACCTTAAAATGAAATCGGTTTGCTGTTTGGTATTCCGCGGTGAGGCGAACCTTTTCAATATCACTTCCAAACAGGGACGGAGAAGGTAGTCTTACTAGAGTAGCTTCAAATCCTAAGAAGGGACAGAAGGAAGAAAGGCTGTTACTTCCAGTATTGACAATAACAGTAGTAATCTGTGGTCTACTAAGTACTCCTCTTCCAGTACAAAGGAAAGTAAAAGAATAGGGCATGCAGTTTACTGATAAACCGTTCTGTCCACTTTGACCCATAGATTAAATCTGCATTCAACATATCTGAAGCATTTTTCAAACCAGCTTCTTCTTTTTTTTTAATGTAACAATCAAATAAAGGAAGTTGAATAGGGTGAACCTCTATGACAAAATCAGCCAATGAATTATAGAGCAAAACAGGCTTTGAACCTGTCTCTGTATTATGCAGCCCTTTTAGTTGATTCGTTTCATTTTGGAAGCCTCTACACTGCCTTTCTCCATTGCATGGAAGCTGCTGCTCCTGAAAAATGCTATAGGAATTTTCCGCATTGCATTTAGTCATTGATAAATTTACAAGGATTAAATGAACTGCATTGACTTCTGTTTGCTAATGGACCAGGTTTCAAAAAAATTTTTGCTTAATCTATAGGGTTCTAAAAAACACTGGATCTGTACATGAAGCAAAAGGAAGATCTTCTTAAGTCCTGGAAACATTCTCAGATACTTTCCTAGTTCTGTTACAACTTGTGGATTCTCAGAGCCATATGAATCATTAATATCCCATTTTTATGGCGCTCAATTAACAATTAGTTTTATTTATTTCTTTATGGTAGTCATAGTAAACAAACAATGCATAATAAAATACTGGGAAAATAATTTATTTTTTATATCTATTCATTTTATATTTAGAAGTGACAAAAATAGTAGAAAACAAATCCTCAATTTTAACTCTACCTCCTAGCTAAAATAACTACAAACCCCAACTTCTTATTAACTAGCAAAAGGTTTTTAACAAACATGCTAACTTAGCCTCCTAACTCAGAAAGTTTAAGAATTTAGGAATGGCTGTTTCTCTTTCCCATATTAATTGGTGCAGACATGAAAAAGATACTTGATCTATCCAATTTTCAGATTAATAGTAAGAAAGAGATTAAGCATTAATTTTACCCATATGCTGAAAATATTTTTATATTACATTTTATATTCATTGCCTTATTTTCATGATCTGGGCATGTTTTATGCCTATAAATATTTAATCAGTCTGGAGATTAGGCTTCTTTTGCTTACCTGAATTTGTATCTGATATGCTTCCTTGAACTTGGTACCCATGGTTTTTTGAAAAGTAGCACCAAGGTACATGTGTTTCATTCTGAGGATCCCAGCAACAGCCACGGAGTACACACAGATCCTGTATCATCAGCAGTAAAAGGAAATCAGAAGTGACCATCAAAATAAACTCCATATTAATTTTTGGACAATAGCATGTGTGTAATCATTAATGACAAGCAAGCTGCACAGTTTGAAATCAACTATCACTGACTTGGACTTCCGGTGGCAGGCGACCTCGTCGGACGCAGCTGTTTGCTGCCTCCCGCCTGTTTTAGCGTAAAAGCCGTTTTGACAGCCAGCATCAGCTGTCAAACGGCTTGATACCCTTCCACTGGGAATAAGGGGATAGGTGAGCTGCCCGGGGTAGGAGTTGAGTTCCCGAGTCGTCCCATGTGGACGATGTAGGTGAGAACTCCTCCGGAGCCCCGAGGTTTCTCCGCGATCCAGGACGCCTTCGCTTCGGCGAAGCTAGAAGCCGCCGCCACCGCTGCAACTTAAAGTGAATGTGAGTTTTTTCTGTAAGCAGACGAACCGAC